GTTTGTGGGGAATTATTGTCTGCTCTTCCTGTTAGACGGGCTACTAGTTTGGAGTTGCCCATGGCCATGCGCTTCAGACATCTGGAAAGGACATCTAAGGAGGCTGTAGGCGTGTACAGGTCAGCACAAGAACTACATTTGCAAAATTATAAGAATTCTATGTAATACTTTAAAACATATTTAATTGGGTTATCATGTTGTAGGGCCACCTGGAGACGACAATGTTGGGTTGTAACCTTTTGGGTGGCAACAATGAAATTGCAAAGCAATTTTTATGTTTGTTTGTTTGGTTTTTTTAATTAATTAATTTTTTTAACATGATAGTGCCCAAAGTGACTCAAAAGAAGATGTTGTCTTGTCAATAAAGTGCTTATTTTCAGGTACCCTGTGGATACTACAGAACCAGAATGTAATAAAGGGAATTAATTCTCTGAACCTTAAATTCTCTGAACCCACAGAGAACAAAAAAAACATTATGAAAGTTGTCTGGTCAGTTCTTGATCAGCATCAGATGAAACATTACATTAGTCATGCTGGTGACCACCATGACTTTCGGAAACAGCCTCAAACCTTCCTGGGAATATTGTCTCTTTGTACAAGGATGACTTGTGCGACTTGAAACAATTTAGGGAACATTGTTTAAAATTTGTAACTTAAAAGGAATGTACTGCAAAAAAACCTGTATATAACAGAGCATCTGTGTAGGCTGTGTGCCAATATGGATAGTCAGACCAGGCAATCTCACTAAAACAATGCAAAACCTAACTATTTCATCAGACGAGTTTATATAACCAATGAAAATAATGGTGACAGCATAGCTAAGCCATTTCACACAGAGTAGCTTCTGGCAACAACAGCTGTTGCCCAGATGTTTCCATTTAGTGGGGAAAAAACAACTAAAAGAAAAACCCACAGCGTCTTTGATACATAGGGAACTGTTGCCATGAAGTGAGACTGCTTATATTTCCACACCCTCATTTCCTAAAATGGCTCAAGTTAATACTAAATACTCTGTAAAAGGGAACTTTGGGAAATTCCTGACCAGAAATTGGCTTACATATATCGGCAGATCAATACACAGTTGAAACAGTTGTGAAACTGTTGACCTCTTGAGCATGCCTGCAAATGACCTAACTCAGTAGTTCTTAAGATGGGTGTCGCAAAAATTCTGCTATAGACACAAATAGAAAAACTAGATGGACTATAGATGTGAATGGAATCACTTTGGGTGGACACTGTAAATATTTTTAATCCAGTAGGTGGTGGTAATGCCAACTACTATAAAATGACAAAGAAGAATCAGGCGGAAAGCGCTTTGCAGGTTTGAAATCACAAGGCGCACAGCAATGCTAATTTTTTGATTGAATTTAGAAAAGAGCAAAGCCTGCAGTTTTTAAATGTTGCTAGGCAACCACTGAATCAGCTGTCCTGTCAGTCTAATCAAACATTATAGCGCCAGTGAGCTGTAGCCTAATCTTTGGTTTGCCGCTAAGTAATAACGGTCATATTAGCAGAAACTTTTGTTGCTAAAAACGTCTGCTTTAAAAACAAGAGTGTGTGAGGTGTACAAACACGCAGGAGACAGGGAAAGGGAGATCTGTGTGGGTACATGAGACCCACAGAAAGAGGAGACACTGTTGGTAGTAGCCTACCAGTTGTTCCAGGGGCTTCGTCTTAATGATGGTCAGTTCAAGTCTTATTTTAGGGAACAGACTGTTGCAGTCTCAGGACAATCCAAGCAACTGTAAATTTCCGTCAGCATAACTGCCCGTCTCTCCGTTCATTAGATTAAAGAAAACGGGAATGACATTGGGCACAACTTGAATTTTAAAATTCAAAAACACAAGGGGCAGCAGGTGGCCAAAACGCGAAATATTTAACTTCAGAAAGGGGTCGGACTGCCAGAAAGGTTAAGAACCCCTGACTTAACTAATGCTGATCTTTGTGCGTCTGTTGCAGGTCTGCTATACATGGGCGGGGTCTTTTCTGCAAGAGGAACATCGAAGCAGGGGAGATGGTTATTGAATATGCGGGCATCGTCATTCGCTCAGTGCTCACTGACAAAAGGGAGAAGTACTATGACGGCAAGGTGGGTCGGCTATCTATTCATTTGATCAGTTTCATTGTGATGTAGGTCACTTATCTTAAAAAATTGCAGGTTAAAGTTGAGAAAGATTAGAGGGATTAGGTTTCCTTTTTTGCCTTTGCAGGGCATTGGCTGTTACATGTTCCGCATCGATGACTTTGATGTGGTAGATGCAACCATGCATGGCAACGCGGCAAGATTCATCAACCACTCCTGTGAACCTAACTGCTACTCGCGTGTGATAAATGTGGAAGGCCGGAAGCATATTGTCATCTTTGCGCTTCGGAAGATCTACAGAGGGGAGGAACTCACCTATGACTACAAGTTCCCCATTGAAGACGCCAGCAACAAACTCAACTGTAATTGTGGGGCCCGGCGATGTCGGCGTTTCCTCAACTGAGATGTCCCTCGTATGAAAAAGGGGAGGATCCTGTTTACTAGTAAGCCTTAAATTAAGGTGGCACTGGATTGGGCTTGGGGAGGCAGTGGATAGTCTGCACAGCAGGGGGAATTAGCCACTATGAGACTCGTCAGGAATATTCGGCTGTTCAGAAGTGATATGTGGACATTCTGTGGAGTGGAGTTGAAGAAGAGGAGAACCTGCACAGAAAATGCATTAACGTTTGTAAAGGTTTCTTGCCTGATGTGTGTTCTCAAGATAATTGTGCTTGTGAAGAGTTGGCACAGCAACGTCATCACAACAAATAATATTGTTGAGGAAGTGGTTTTGGTGGTCATGACAACAGGTCACTTAAACCGGATATTTAAAATGTCAGGGGGGTTCTTGGATCAGTATAGATTATACCAACTGAGTTTATTTTATAACACACGTCAAGCCTTATATGTTTGAATCATTGCTGAAAACCTATAGCTAGGTTCTAAGAGATTCCTTATGTTTTATTCATTTCTGGGCGGGTGGGGGGGTGAGGGTGTCTGTGTGTAGTACACTTATTGTAATCATGATTGCTCCATTCAGTGGTGGGAACATTAGAGCCCCATCCATGCAGTGGTGAAGTCAGTTCTTGAGCCATACATTCACCCAAACCTTTATTTGTGTGTTTTATCTTACATTTAACACTTCTGACGTTGTTAATATTTGTTCTTTTTAGACTTATATTTTTCATGAATAACAAAACAACCATGGTGCTAAGCTTTGAAAGGTCTTTTAAGTCTTTAGTTGGACTGAGATGTCCTGCAAATCAGGAAGTGTTTAGCTGTTTATTCACCCTGCTGAGACCATTTATCTTAAATTTATGCACTCAAGCAAGTCCTCTTAACATCACTGAAAAAAAAAGTGTCTGCTAAGTCTCATACTACGAATCTGCTGTTTTTCACCCATTTTCTTCCTGTGGTGACTTTCAAAAATACATAATTGCCAACAGTTTCAGTCAGTGACAAAGTGTCATATTTATAAAGACAGAAGCGTGTCTTTAAGATGCGATTCTTTTGTTGATGTACAGTGTATGTAGCAAACACTACCCAAGCCAAAAGTGAAGAGTTGTGGTGAATATCAGTTTTTTAAATCTATATTTTATTACTGTCATGGCATATGCTCATTACCTATTGCAATAAGACTTTGCTGCCCTACAATTGCACATAAATAACCATCAAACCCACAAATTATCTTCATCTTTGTAAAATCTGCTACAGTTTATCTCTTGATCAGGGAGAACACTGGTATAAAGCATCGCCACTGAGTGGGTGTGTGTGTGTGTATGTATTCAGATCCTGCACCAGACTTGTTGAGAACTGACTTTCTAGATGTTGCTGTTGCAGAAACCATTTAATCTAAAAATGGCGCTGAGAGAATGCACTCAGCACCTTTAAAATGTTTAATGTTGTTCTTAGTCGATGTTCAGTGCTGTCATTGATGAGGCTAATCAAATTTACACACTGTTCAAATTGGTAGTTATATTTATTCATGTTTTGATTTATATTTTTTAATGATAAAAAAAAAAAAACTTGTGCTTTGTATAAACGGTGGTGGTCTAGTGTATAAAGAGGTCTCCCCCTTTTGTATTTTCTTTTTTGTTTACAAATTATGTCCTTTGTTTAACTAATTTACTTGAATTTTCTTTTGGGGCAGTTGTGTCATGCATTTAAGCCTTTATGACAAATTGTTCTAAAGCAGGTATTTTTAAAGAATCCTTTTTATTTTGTTTTTTGTTATGGTAGATTACTGACGGTCTTAGAATCAGCCACAGGAGTAAAGTGAGCACTGTTTGCCTCCCCAAGCCCATGATCATCTTTTTTCTTTTCTTTTTTTTTCACCCCTTTCTCTTTAACCATATAAGAGCAAATGTCCATCATGTTTTGTCTTGATCTTAACTCCCTTTCCTTCCTGCATGTCCAATCACTGGGATGGAGCCCAGGTTTGTGTTAATCACCTAGCTGACAACTAGAGCAGAGTCACTCCAACTCCTTGCAAGGATTCTACCTCAGCTGTTTATACAGATGTTTGGGAATACTGATGCAAAAAGAGAGGATGATAATTTAAGAGAGAGCTTGGTTTTAATGGCCTGCAGAGCTGTTGTGTATGTGTGCGTGTATGTGTTTATGGGTGAGTCTGTGTCGTGTGTGGGTTTGCAATGAAGGATGCAAAGCACTAGTCAGAACCTTAAGTTATCATGACATCTCTCCCAGAATCTGTTAAGAAAGCTGTATGTTATATATACACACACACATATATAAATATATATATATATATATATAGTAGGGTTATTTTAAAATAAGTAAAAGACATAAAAATGAGAAAATATGTGATCTTTAAATTTACGTCTTTGTTACCATGTACAAATAAACCTTGAGTTTGTAAATATTTGTATACATATTTCTAAACCTGTTTAATTTTTCTATGCACTTTTTTATTTATAATGTTATTTGCTTAATAAAGATGTTAAGATGTTTGAACAAATTTTTATTAATCATTTTTATTAGAGAAGGTCGTCATAATGTGAAGCAAGTATAAAAAAGAAGTGATTCACTGCGGACAATTGATAAAATACACGTGCACAAAGGCAGGCACAAAAAATGCTTGTACTGGCAGCTCCTCTTGTCAAAATTAAACGAATGGTGAGAATTAAAGTACCAGACACTAAGATATCCGGTATGGACCCAGCTACAAAAACACTGGATCCTACACTTCACTTGACTTTCCATAAGTGATGTGTGGATCATTGTTTAATAACATTTAATACCAACTGGGGACACTGAGCACCCCCAAGATGAAACCACTGTAAGAAACAAAAAAATGTTACTTTATTTCTTCTCAAAAACAGTGTTGGTTATTTTGCATATGTGTGAACAAAAATGTTTACTTTGATTTAAATTACAGCTTTTATCCTAAGTACAATCAACAAAAGTACTTCACTATCCTGTGAGATAGGACAAAAAAAAAGTATACCTCTGGGGTCTACGGGTGCCCCAGACAGTGGGATTAATTTGAGTGCTACTTGTCAATGTCATTCAGTCCGAGTTTGGCGAGAACAGCGATGGCATCATTGCGCTCTATAAGTCTGAGCAGCTTAGCCAGGTGACCTACTGTCCAGTCAGGGTGCCTGCTGGTGACCCCCTCCAACACAGCTTTCAGAGGGCTCTTGCTATCCTTCATAGAGTATGTGTAAGTGATCCAGGTGGACGGGAAGGAGCAATGAGAGGCCAGATGTTTGGTGTTCTTTCGTCCATGGCTTTCTGGATCCAACAAAATCACCAGCTCTTCCAAAACATCCAGGTTATCCAGTACTGTCTGTAAAGGCGCTGACAGAATGTGAGGCGCTACAAAGGAAAGATGTGGAAAAGGAGAGACAAATGCATTCTTTGGTCTGTTTTTTCACAGTCAGTTTCGTCAACAATACTTCAGTGTCTGGGCCCTCCTGGGTTCATCGTCACTGCTCCAGGATACCAAATGAGAAACGGCATTTTACAGACTGAAGCAGTTGTGCAAAACAACTTAAAATACTTATAGTATTTTAAGTGGTGAAATGTAAAACCAACTGTGATCTGAAACTGAAATCAGAAAATGACTCAAATGTGTGGCTATAGGCTACATGGTATATTTAAAGATAACTGTCATTTCCACTCACGAAGAATGCACTCCAGATCGCTGTTAGTTGCAGTAGAAAGGGGAGAGAACCCTTCACTCTTGTGTGATGATCTTCTGTTATAACATATTGTGTGTTGACCTGTGTTGAACCCAAGCACGAGAGACACGCAGTTATAATTAATATCAGAACAACCTCATAAGCTATATTCCAGGATATTTAACCTGTTTCCTCTATTAAAAAAACAAAACAAGAGACTTCACCTTTATGCTCACTTCTGTGTGTTTACTTTCAGTATATACAAACCTCTTTTCCGCTTCATGTAGATTAGACAAGTAACAAGCGTTGTGAAAAGTAGGATAGCTAGGCCTAATGGTCCTGCCCCTGTAAAAAAAAAAGTAAAAATAAAGGTCAAGTTAAATTTAGACCATGAACAAATGTCTTCTTGTTCCATAAGCAAGTGCATGTTTAACTTACAATATACATGACTTGGGCTGGGGGGATGTGGTGTAGTAGGCGGAGTTGTTGCATTGGGTGTTAAGGTGGATCCTTGGATTGGCTGAATCAGAAATGAAAAAAATAAAAATGACTTTGAGTTATTGCTTAATATTTTTCTAGCGGTAGCCCTTTTTTTTTTTTAAGAAATGGCTATGTTTTTTGTAGAACAACTGTGAATGGAGGAAAAGACTAAAGGCTAGTGATGAATTAAAAGGAATTAATGATTTCTGAGATTGATTATATATATAGCCTACATTTATTATGAAATCTATAATTACTATTGATAATAATTAACACTGATATTAAATTGGGGGGTCTGAAGTATGGCAACTTTTCACCTCACTGATAAATTAGCTTAATTAATCTGAATTCAGTTAAGAATGATTTATTGATGAAATATTTGATAGGGGGGTCTGGGGGTCCCCCCTAGAAGATTCTGAGCATTAAACACTTAATTTCCTGAATTCTGGAGACATTTTCTGCACCAATTTATGGTGAAAATGTCTTTATTCTTATAAATTGAAGGACAAAATTTTGGTGGCAGGTGACAATTTAGAATATAAAAATATAACAGAATGTAATGCAGTAATCAGTAGCTTATTATTTTTTAGCTCATTTATCGGTTATTTTCCCTCTTTTGACGAATTATTAGGTGTTTTTATTTTTGGCCCACAACACAAGAAACAACTCCAGCAGAGGGGGAGGGAGTGGGTGCTGTAAGAGATGTGATTGGGCCAGCCCAATGTCAGTATAGGCCTGATGCTTTATAGGCCGATCGTTGGCCCATTTTTAAGAAAGAGTTAGGCCAATGTAAATAAGTAATTTGACTTGTAGCCTACTGGATGAGACGAGCGCACTGCTGTTCATCAGAGTAAGAAAGCCGAAACTGAAAACACTTGTTCCACACAAACAAATGTTCACTTCAGATAAAGTAAAGCAAGGTGTCTCTGAGGTGTTGGAGAGAGACAGCAGGACACAGAGAACAAGTGTCACGGTTAGGTGTGTCATGATATTCTATCAGCGGCGACTGTTAACCGTTTGTGTAGCATAGGCTATGCACTGACTAGACACTGACCGACAACATTTATATTTAATTGTATTGATTACAATTTTGCTGTCCACACATCTTAAAGTGGTCCTATCCCAGTAGGTTCAGAAGTCGCGGATAAGCCCTGAAGCTGTGAGCAATGCGCTCTATCTCTCTCTATCTCTCTCTCTCTGCATCATGAAGATTAGCCTATAGCATATTAACATGGACATTTTTTTTGTTGCTGTTGTTGAGTTACATTCGGGGCTACCTACAGTCAAAACATCCGGTGCTAAAAAAAAATGACCTGGTTTCGCCGATGATACAATCCATAGCCTGTAGTAGCAGTAGTACGCCTTCTTATAGGCATTTAAGCCTTTATGACAAATTGCTTTCTGAAATATTTCTGTACAATAGATTATATAGATATGCCTATAATTTAAAAAAAGGCCTAGCCTAGGCTACTCAATGAAATACGGGGGAAATTTTTCCAAGTGGGTTAATTTCCTCTGACATAAGAGCCATAACGTGGGCTTATAATTTCCTGTGTAGGGCAATAGTTTTCTGCATTACCGTTGATGCCGTGCTGAAAGTAGCTGAAACACCTGGGGGTGGTTCCTGAGGAGAAAGAAAAACTGAGTTAATAGTTCAAAACACCATTGAAATAATGTTTCATAATGCTTGGGGCCATACTCACGGTGGTCGTCCTCCAGTTTCTACAGAAAAGCGAGAGGGGAAAAAAGAGCTACTGTAAAGGCTTTTACTTTGTCGGCCTCCCTACTTCTAATATCAGTTTACCGTAGACAAACCAACTAGAGGCGACTGAGTGCCGACAACAATTTTCACCGTCCAACTTCACCGCACACAGAGCGCGAGACCTTTAAATGTCCCCCAAATGTCCGGATGGTCGCGGTTCGGATAGGCTAGCGTTTAAGTTAAGATGACCACACTTGGCCGACAAATCGGGTAATGTATGCTTTCTTACCTTGCGTCTCGGCACTGGGTGTCAGCAGTTGAGCTGCAGGGGCTCACAATGTCATAGCCGGGGGGGCATGAGGAACAAGCTTGACAATACGCCCTGCTGCCATCATTAAAATGACCGGCTTTGCACTCTGTGTTGGGGATTTCGTGCCTCCCTCCATAATCATCAAATCCACAGTTAGGAGTAATTTCACTTCCTATAGTGTCGAAAACAAACATATAATTTAATTTAAAATTATAGGCTACAATAGCATAATAACATAGGCATAATAATAGGCCAACAATGACCTACCTGGCTTTAGAGGACAGTTCACACATCTTAAAGTGGTCCTATCCCAGTAGGTTGTCAGATCATGGCATCTGTCAGAGTACCCCATCGTCACTCTATGAAGTCTAGGGCAGGCTCTACTTGTAGGCTATATCGACACTGCGCCTCCCACAGAACACACCCAAAAATTTTGAGGTTTAACAATCTAAGCTCTTTTTAAACCATTATAACGTTTTATGTTTTATATTAATTGTAGGTAGCCTATATTTTGCTGCTTCACGGGCTTTACAAAGCCTATAACGCTCTTTAACAGCGACTGCTTGAGCTGATCTGAAATCAGTAGCGTAACAAGCGAAGATAATTTTCATTATTTATTATGTTTGTCAGAAATTAATGTCCCAAAACCTTCTCCAGTTAAATGCAAACAAAATGTTATGGTCTTCCAAAGTCGTTCATCTTGGCACCCTGCACAGGTCTAGGTGTAACTATGTTTTGTCAATTGACGAGCAGCTAAATAAACAATCAGGTCTTCTGAAAAGATGTGAGAAGCTGCTTTAACAAATAGAAGACACGATAACAGGGCAGGCAGGAGTGGAAATCCACTCCCGTGAGTAGCCTATCGCTTTGTGGAGCTGGTGTGCGTGGCTGCTGGGATCGTCTCGTCCTCTCTGCATGTTACATCGCAGCAGCAACAGTTTCCTATTTAAAGTACACATTTTGTTGTTGTTTGATCCAGGATATAGGCTATCATGTAATATGTTATGGTTTTGGATTTCTCTAAAATCACATATCATACCCACCTTTAGATACAGTTTTTTTTAGAATGTATTATTATATTATTATTATTAATTGGCACAAACATATTGCCTAATGAGTATTAAACAGTGACATTTCAATTCTTTCTGGCTTCCTTTTTTTTTTAATTCATCATCACATGTGATTCTCAGTCACAATCATGCCAGTTGAAACTGTGCTAATGTGACCTTTTCAAAAAAGGGATCTTTCTAAAGTTTGAGGAAATAAGATGATGTCTTCTTGTAATGGCTCAGAAACACAACACGCACTGAATTTAAAAGCACAACTTCAAAGACAGTCAGAGTAAGATAAAAGTTACTGTTTACTGAGGTCAAAATTTGGTAGACTGTAAAAAACTGGCAAATGTAGGCTATCGGGTCGTGGTATGCAAATGGCTGAGTGGGGGATGAATGCATTACGTCAATGAGATGATAGTAAGACAAACGTGTATGTGAGTGATTGTCTGTAGCCCTAAGTGTGTCGAAGACAGAATGGAACCTCCCATCTACATCACATCACTACATCTACAACCAAGACCTATTGTAAAGACTCCACCAGCCATCTTCACACTGGCAGATTGTATATTCTCTGCTGCAGTCTTCCATCTCCTTGCAGACCTGCCAGCGCTGACTTTGGCTTCAGTCCCCTCCACCCTGCTCAGACCCGCCTACAACTGTATGTCACACTCTTCTTCACCCCAGTCCAGCTATCCCTTTGAAATCCCTCTGATCTGCCTACTTGTGGTCATTGGATTCTGTCCCGCTCCAGTCCCTGGCGCGCTTAGCATGTAACAGGAAGTCTAACAAAAGATGCTTTTGAGTAACATTATGGTGCACTAGCTTTAGACTGTGCTGGATGAAGGCAGATAATCAAGGCGTGTCTCAAGCAAAAAGTGATTATAGGCTTCCCTCGAATGATGAATAAGATATTTCAGAAGCAGTGTTGGGCAGTAACGCGTTATGTGTGTTGTGGCATGGAGGCAGTCAGCCTGTGGCACTGCTGAGGTGTTATGGAAGCCCAGGTTGCTTTGATAGTGACCTTCAGCTCGTCAGTATTGTTGGGTCTGGTGTCTCTAATTTTCCTCTTGACAATAGCCCATAGATTTGGCTGGCCAGTCAAGCAAAGTAATACCATGGTCAGCAAGCAAGTTACTAGTTGTTTTGGCACTGAGGGCAGGCATGAAGTCCTGCTGGAAAAGAAAATCAGCATCTCCATAAAGCTCGTCAGCAGATGGAAGCATGAAGAGCTCTAAATTTCTCTGGATTTCAAGCAACTTGGATTCTGTCTCTCCACTCGTCCTCCAGACTCTGGGACCTTGATTTTCAAATTAAATGCAAAATTTACTGTCAGAAGAGGGAAGAAGAGTTTGGACCACTGAGCAACAATCCAGTTATTTTCATCAGTAGCTCAGGTAAGACGCTTCTGACGCTGACTCTAGTTCAGGAGTGACTTGATACTAGCAATGCAACATTTGTAGCTCATTTCCTGGACACGTCTATGCGTGGTTACTCTTGATGCACTGACTCCTTGTGAAGCCCAATGAAGCCCAGCTCCCCCAACTTCTTGAATCAGCTTTGCTTGACAATCCTCTCAAGGCTGCGGTCATCCCTGTTGCTTGTGCGCCTTTTCCTACCACACTTTAACCTTCCAGTCAACTTTCCATGTATATGCTTTGAGCCAGCACTCTTCAAACAGCCAGACCTTTTAAGTAAAGACTTTCTGTGGCTTACCCTTCTTGTGGAGGGTGTCAATAAGTGTCTTCTGGACAACGGTCAAGTCAGGAGTGTTCCGCATGATTGTGTTTGTGTGTACTGAACCAGACTGAGAGGTTAAAGGCTCTTCTCAGGTCAACATTTCTGTAAAATACAGTCTTTATTGTAATATCTATTCTGTTTTGAGATATGGATTTTTTTATTATCAATGAGCTGTAAGATGTAATCTTCAAGATTAAAACAAAAAAGGCCTGAAATATTTTACTTTATATGTAATGAATCTAGAACATATGACAGTTTCACCATTTGAGTTACATTACGGGGGAAAAAAACTTTTTCACAATATACAAATTTTCTGAGATGTACCTGGACACAACACTGAAATATATTAAAATGTTTGGAAAACACATTTATCAACCATATGTGATTGACCAGAGTAAAAAAAAAAGCGAGAATAGCTTCTTACGGGCACTCCGTAGCGCACCAAGTAGGTAGGAATGTTTTGCAAAACACACATACATCATTGCATGTCCCTACACTCTGCAGCAGATCCTGATTTTACATTTCCCATAATACAAATCTATCTTTAATTTAATCCTTGCCTTGAAAATGGACACTTTCTGTTTAAGATGATGAACATGATCTTATAATTGCACCAGTGTTAAGCGTCTTGCTCCAGGGCAAACTGTGACTTGTGTCATAGTGGGAATCGAACCTGGGTCTCCCACACCAAAGGTATGTGCTTTAGCCACTGCATCATCACCACCCCAATAGACATTAGTATTTAACACAAAGTACAGCCTCAATGTGCAGCTAGCATGGCTGTAGACTCTTTGGGCCTTTCTCCAACCACCCCCAACATCCTCTGCCTATCCACCTTCACGCCGTAAGCACATCCACGCAGAGTGCCCGCCCAATAAAAGGGCCATCCCAAACCAATTAGTGGGGAGTGGAAGTAGGTTATAAACCCTCCAACAGTAAGTCTGTATGATGCTGAATTAATGACCACATACAATGCGCAGTGAAAAACAAGATGTTTTGGAAAAAAAGGGAATGCCTCCTCTTATCTTTCATCAGCTGGTGGATCAGGACAAAATATGCTTATTTACTGAACACCAATGCCTTAAAATGATTACAAGACACCCCTTGGCTATTTTATTTTATTCTATTTTTATCTTTTCTGTCTTTTATTAGGTTATAGTTATGTTTTTTTTAAAGAGTCTGCTACTGATGATGTATTATGTGCCATAGCCTTTTATACAATTTTGACTTCAAAAAAGTTTAGAAAGCTTTTGAAAGATATAGATATGAAACCGTGGTTACATAAACTTCTGATAATTCCTGTTTCTGTTGGAGAGAGGGACGTTCGTCCCAAAGCTTGCTGCTGTATATTTACTGTATACCTTACACAGGGCCACAGAAGACAACCGTTTTGCTGGTTGAGTGGTTCTCCTCATTAGGAGTAAATGTGTAAAATTGGTGGAGTGGCCCTATAAAGGTTTAGTATAGGACTTCCTGCTCACTTATTCAGTGAAACACATGCTTTCTGTGGAGTATTTCCTTTGTACTATGTATAAATGTACTCCCACGTGCTTACAATATTTATTTTTGAGTTGTAATGAACATCATAACTTTGTTCAGGTGCCTTTTTTGACATGTTAAGTGTTACATCAGGGTTAATTACAGTATATACTGTCCAAGTTAGTAGTTCTGGATAACCTTAGCATTAATTCCTGTAATTATATTCTGGATAAGAAGAGCAGCTGAGTTTAGTCTGCTCTGCAGGATAAAGTGGAAGTACTGCTGAAGCAGCAGGATGATGGAGCTTAGCTCCAGCTGAGAGGATATTTCCCTAAGCTTTCTCCTGTTGTGTTGGCTGCTCCTGTGTTACTTATAGTATGTAGGCTAAAAACATTGCTTAAAAAATAATGTACTGTGGAATATTGGGATGTGTTGGCACCACCCTCAAGTCTGGAAGTTCTGCTTTTTTCCTAGCAACAATTTTCCTTCTACAAAGGTGACTCATTGTTTGCAATCAAAATATTCTTTTAAGGTTAACCAGTTTTTTTGAATACTTGTCTTGTCTATTACTGTTGTGTGCTCTTTCTGGTTATTTGTAGCAAAGTTCTTTTAACAGACTTGAATTCATTTCAAGGAGCTATGTACTCCCTTGCCGGGTGTAAATGATATTGTGTGACAATCTTCTCTTACGTCTTCAGGTCTTAAATCAATGCAAGAACATTGGAACCCAAATCTTCCCGATCTTCCCCACCCAATCTTTCCAATGCTCTGCTGCTAGTATTTATTGCCTTTGCATTTCTGCAGTGTATCATGGTGCGAGAAGAGACTATAACTTTGACACAAGAGGTTCCCCTGGATCGGTTGGGACAACATTGAGCATAGGAGCCATGGGGCCTCCAGGGACCACCCAAGATGGTACAAGGGGACAGACCTGTCAACCAAAATCTATCATGGTTGTCCATTCCACGCCTGCGGGAGAGAAATTTCAGTGTGAGAGCTACGTAATAAATGTAAGGCGGTGATTTGGATATTTTAATAATATTTACTTTCTTTTGCTGAAGATTTATGCAGTGTTGATGATACATTGTACAGCATTGTTATCTTTACCAGGAATGTCTCTGCAGCCAGCCAAAAAAACTGAGGCTTTTGAAATTAAAAATAAAATAGATGATGACTAAATGACTTAAATATAAATGACTTCTCATACAAGTTGGCTTACCTCATGGTCTCAACTGTATTACAACCATAGCAGTTGTTCCTTGTTAAAGGTGAGGTATGCAGTTCTGGAGAAATTCAATACCATGACAAATATGATGATATAGAGCTGTGGGTTACCCTGAGGAGACAAAATGTTGTGTATTGGATTAGAATCACATACCCTGCCTTTCAGCCAATGGCATTGTTTTGTACAAGGTCTGGAATAAGAAACTACCTGAGGAAAACTAAAACAAGCGAGAGAAGAAATACGTACTTTAGTTTTCAAATCCACTAAAATTCAGGTCAGCAAAGCAATGTGTGGGAGAAGGATGTGACAGTCATGTCTCCTTTTTCCAGACAGACACAGACTCGCCTCTTCCTCTTCCAGACATCATGCCAGGGACTTTTCCTGAACTTGCAACTGCCAAGCAACGTCATAAAAGTATAACAGACATTCCATATCGGGGCAACATGCGCTTGCCTCCATCTTCTGCCCTTGGTCTCACAGAGATAGAGCAAGGCTTCTGGCGTCGCTGTTCACTGAGAGAGACCAATACTGTTTCACGATACCCTAGTCATGCCCTCAGTGTTCCTAACATGGGCAGCACCAGCCCCCTTAGTGTCATCAACAACAGTCCTCTCCACAGCACCCCACTCTCACCAGTACACAGCAACATATCCAGCCCTGCTAGAGAGATGGAGAGGCAGGCCAAGGCCCGGAGTAAACTCCTGGAGAGTGAGTGCACCCAAACGCCCACCCTTCCTCCAGAAACCCGAGAGCAACTCCGCTATGTCTCCAAGGATGGAAAGTGCCGTGTCAACCTGTGTCACATTTCTGAGAGGGGCCGCTTCCTGTCTGACATCTTTACCTCTTTTGTGGATCTCCAGTACCGCTGGTTTCTATTTGTTTTCATGATGTGCTACATCACCACCTGGTTCTTGTTTGCTGTGCTCTACTTCCTGAATGCTTCCTTCCGAGGTGACCTAGGACAAGACCACCCCGCCAGCACACCTGAAGACCACCTCGCCGACCAAAGGCCCTGCTATTTCGGTGTAGATGGCTTCATTTCAGCTCTACTCTTCTCGGTTGAGACGCAGCGTACCATTGGTTATGGGTCACGCACTGTGTCTCCCACCTGCCATGAGGGTGTGCTGCTGGTTATGATGCAGTGTATTGTTGGGTCCATGATAGATGCACTCATGGTGGGTTGCATGTTTGTCAAAATATCCCGACCTAAAAAGCGGGCTGAGACACTTCTTTTCAGTCGTACTTGTGTTATTGCCAATCGTGATGACCAGCTGTGTTTAATGTTCCGACTGGGGGACCTGAGGGAAAGCCACATGGTGGATGCTAAGGTCCGGGCAAAGTTGATCAAGTCCCGCCCAACAGCTGAGGGTGAGTTCTTACCACTTGAGCAGACAGAGATTGATCTTGGTTATGAAACTGGATCGGACCGACTCTTCCTGGTGGAGCCTCAAGTCATTCAGCACAATATTGACTCCAACAGTCCACTCTGGGAACTGGGCCCGGAGCAGCTTAGATGGCAACAGTTTGAGATCATCGTTATCTTGGAAGGAATTGTTGAGGCCACAGGTGAGTAATGATTATCAGTAGTAGTCAAGAAGAGATCCAGAAGCAGATATGTGCGTATAAAGCTTTAAGGGTCCCCGAACATATTTTCTTACTTTACACGGTGACCTTGATAAATGGCCACAAAAAATAATTTTGGTTTCATTTTTTCTTTTTTCTCAGTTTTTAATGGTAGATTACACTGAAAATATTTTACTTCAAGGACTGTGGGTTATACAAAGAAACTGGAACATTTTTCTGAAACTCAAGTAGAAATCAAAGTGGGACAGAGAAATCAAATGGATTGCCAAGAGTGGTTGCATTATTCATTATTCATCAGAATCAGATTTGTCATATCATAGATAATATATAATTTATATATTTTATATATATTATATATATATATATATTATATGTATATATATTATTTATATGTCTGCACAGCCCTATCGGTTAACATGAGCACTGAAAGGAAGCGGGCTGTGCCTCGGGGGGCTTTGAGTCCCCAGACAACAGCGATTTCATACTCAGGCTGCCAGGTCAGAAACAGAGAAGAAAAGTGGTGGCAGGAGACAATAAACGGAACGCGGAGGAACCAGAGGTCAAGGATCATGAGGGAAAGGAAAAGCAGCCCATGCAGCAGTATTGATTGAAAAGCCCTTAGGTTAGCTCTGCTTTTTGTTTGCACATAGACGTCTTTGACATGACGTCAGAGCTGTTCTTGAACTTCTTCACAATCTGTTGATCATGTTAATTCATTTTCTAATGTTTTATACTAAAATTCTGGCTAAATCTTAAGCATTGTACCTACAAAGTTCGAAGACATAAAACTCACACAAAAGGACAAGTTTTTTTTGACAAACAGGAAATGAAATGTCCTTCACTCAGGAATCCCTTCATCCTGTTTTGTTACAAACTGTTCTGAACAGTCCATAGGTCAGGGTGGTCCTGGAGAGCAAAGCACAACAACTTTAACACATTAAAAGTTGAAAGTTTACCAAATTGAAAACAGATCTATGCAAGCTAATCACTGTGTCAGAAGGGGCATTCTTACAGTACACAGTGAACTATAGCAGATGTGAGACTTCTTCGAGAGTAGAGAGAGAGGTAGGAGTAGAAGAGGAGTAGCAAGAGCAACAACATTGCTGATTTCTAGAAATGTGAAGATTTACATAGAGTCACGCAAAGGATAGATTTTATATTGCAGGTCAATTTTCAATAGTGATTAGTCGGGGACAGCTTTGCCTGTGATTTTGATTAAGTAAAATGGCCAAATGCAAAACTCTTGTTTTTTTCTGTACAGTAAGTTTTCCAGTCAACTTTTACTTATTCAGTCTTAACCTCATTATTTTTTAAATGTTTTCTATTCTTCCTGAATTTTGCAGTATAATTTAAAATCATGAGTATGCTTTAACCAAGCACCAGAAGATATATGTTTATCCACCAAAAAGTTCCCTTATACTTATTCTGACAGTTGTTTGTAAAGTGACTGAGTGCATTGTTTACATGTGTGGCTAGATAGGGCGCTATTTGACTGCAGTTTACCATTATGGGAAGTGTGTGTGTGTGTGTGTGTGTGTGTGTGTCTGTGTGAGTGTGTGTGTGTGTGCGGCTTTGTAGTTTGGAAAGGGTATTCATGCAGTTGGAAAACAGGAAGCTGTTTTGTAAATGTTGCCCTCAACACTACAGTTACTCTGCAACAAATATTATTATTTCATGAAACATGATGACATTTTAAATGCCTCTATCCCAGCTGAACTGCAGTCTTCTAATTATCAAACAATGATGGCATTTTGGTCATTTGGGCTTTCTTTTTTAATGCCGTTGTTTCTCCTGAAATGTTCTATCATATTGTTGTGCTTTGTGTCTTCTGTCTTTCACTAGTTGGATAAAGTGCAATTGTGACAATATTGTGGGAATGTATTACATACTAGGGAAAACAACATGTTGTATATACATCAACATTTAGATACTTGGTACATATCTTCATTAAGAAATGTTTCTTAAAATTTTCCTCATATAATACATTTCAAAACCAAACTTTCGTGCAGTAGAGCCAAAACATCCGCTGTCCACGCCCCTAAGCAGCGATTATGAGAGCTCATTCAGTGTCTGTTGTTGACTGTTTCAAGTGAGGACATGCAAAATATGGCGACATCTTGTGGCAAATGATGTGTACTTTACAATCTTCAAATAGTGATGCATTTAAGATGTTTGACAGAATCAACAATAACGGCCGCTTCCTTGTCTTCATTGTATACGCAGGCATGATGTGCCAAGCCAAAACATCCTATATTGAAACGGAGATTGAGTGGGGCGCGCGTTTCGAACCTTGCATGACACTGGAAAAAGGCTCCTTCAGAGTAGACCTGCGTCGGTTCCACACCACCTACCAGGTACCGCTTCCCAACTGCAGTGCCAGCCAGGTGCACCAGATATTGGCTCTGGCAGATTGTAAACTTCAAGACTCGAAACCCAGCAGAGCCTGCGGAACCTGGGCAGAGGGGGACAAAGACAAGCAACTGCCTCATGGAGGATTCACTATTGATAACATTCTGGAGGAAAGAGTGTCTGAGGGCAATGAAAGTGAGGGGAGTACAGAAAACAGCGGCTGATACGACTCAAGGATTAAATGTAATCTATTTAGGTATGACTGAATTGACCTCGCACTTACTGTTATGGTGCCTGTCAACACTGCACTGGTAGCACTTCATCTTACAGCTCGGTAATTACATTGGGGTAATAGATTGACAATAGAGCTTGATATTAACAATGGATATATCTGGGTAATATTATGGTGACATGTATGTAACATGGTAATAAGGGGCCAAACCCAATGGGTAATAATTGGGAAACACATTTAAAAATAGCAACAAGCCATGAATATTTAGTAATATAGTAATATTTTTGTAACAATATGTTAACTTTTAACAATAAAATAGTTATGTCAGTGCAATATTTGGATAACACATGGTAATACGGTGACATTAATGGGGTAATAACCTGATAGGTTATATAGGTTATAGTTTTAACAATATTCTAGGCTATCAGTGTAAATTGTTGGATTCTCCAAACTGGCAATTATCATATTGTAATACTGAAATTCCTCTTCCCTAATGTTCCAAACACTCCCTTTTGTTTTATGGCAATGCACATTATATGTTTAATGCTGTAACTTGTTACCCGGGAATCAGCAAAGTGATAACAGAAAATGTTAAAGATGCGGTTGTGGTCAGCTGCCCCCCGTTCCTCCAGCACTTCCTTCAACATTTACATCTATGTACAGACATACGTGTCTTTTATTATCTGTACAAATAATTGCCAATACAGCTGCTGTGTATACACTTGTTTATTGATGCATTGGTAGTCTAAAACATGGTATATTCATCCATTAAAGTCTATAAATGAAAAATGTGTTAAACATGCATTTTCTATCGCATAAACATTAGGGTAATGCTGAACAAATGAACAAATAGCTTTCAGTGGAAACAGGACTGAAAGCTCCCTCTAGAAAGCTATTTGTGTGGTAACATAGGCCTTGTGAATACATACATTTGAGGACACATGGGACAACTTCACAGTCTTTTAATTGGTGTGGTGCTTTTAGAGGTATGACAGATGCTAAATAGCACTTGTTGTTTAACTTTGAGACACATTTACTCAGTATATCCATGCCTTTAAACTGCAACCAGTCAGTTAAGCCGCCCAGCATCAGTGACTGATAATGCAGAAAATCCACCAATGGAAGAATTACAAAATAAGAAAATGCTGGGTTATTGTTTGTCACTAGTTACACAGACATAACTGGCTGCAAAAGCTCTGTTATTCTCATCTCAATTAACCAGAGCAGAATAAAGGGTTTTCCAATAACATTTTTTTATTTCCCACAACATTCCTTATTGTCAGTGTTGATTGAATACAGTCCATGCTGTCACAACCCTGTGTTGGCTAAAACTGGAGAAAACTGAGCCACGCTTCTCTTTCTGCTTTTCTCTGGGAGTAAAATAACAAAGGAGCAGAACAAAGTCCGAGTTTTAAGGATGAAATAGATACATGTCATTTCAGACAATGAATCTGGATCAATGAATGTATACTGTTTATATGTTCCTGCACAAAAAAACATCTTTTGTTCGGCTTTAAACCTAGAATTTCAGCCACTTTTGACATAGTGATGCATTTTTGAGCACTACGACAAAAAAAAAGGTTACAGTGGTTTCCCTCATGAGGGCGCTATAAACCTAGGTCGAACTTAAAAAGTTTACATAAGCAGTCCAATAATTATGAAAGTAAGAAGGAAGATGCCTACCTCATTTGATGAGGGTGAGCTGTTGATGTGGCTTTAATGCACGTACATGACCTAATGTGAATACTTTAAGTTTCACTGTCTCTGTTCTATAGTTGTAATTGTGAATACAGAGCAGTTTCAGTTTGTATAGAAGTTATTGCAACATATAGCCCCAGTTTGTGCCTCTCACACACACACACACACACACACACACACACATACACACACACATATATATAAGTAAGTGATGTTAAAGGACGTTCTTGGTTTCAACATCAATGAATGATATAGAACCCATGCACTTTTCTGACTTTCTGTTTTTTTTCACTCTTTTTATTTGTAAATATTTTTTATTGTCCTACTATTGTCCTTATCCACAAAGACAATTTATCCTTCAGAAAACAGATGCTTAGCTCTGTGACTCAAATGTAAGGATAGTACATGAGAGGCACAAATTAAAAGCTACACCCATGACAACTTTGTGTAGACAAAAGTGCCTGTGTTGTGAGGCCTGGCTCAGATGTGTGAGTTGTACAGGTAGGTGCTGTTGATGCTCCAGTCAGGTGGGAAGTCCTGCACTGCGTGGCACTTGAGGTGTCTCTGCATGGTGACCAGGCTGCTGCAGAACTCCAGACACACCGTGCACTGGTAGGGTGCTGCCCCGCCATGAGTCCGCAGGTGCTTGATCATGGCTGAGTAGTCCCGTGATCGCTGACCACAGAGACGGCACTCGAAGGGTTTCTCTCCTTGATGCAGAAGGAAGGGGGGGGGGGGTTTACATGAACTCCTATGTTGCTTGACTGCTTGATTAACTGCTTAATTTAGACTGAAATCAACTAAACAGGGGCACGTTTAAAATCCCATTAAGTTAAGCAGGTCTCTGATTGTTAAAACTATATATATATATGGACTGTCCAAAATTTAGGCCTAAAAGCTACATTAACACTGAACACGCAAATCTTGAACTCTTGATCTGTGTGTGTTCAGGAAACATTAAAATCACACATTAAAAATTAAATATAATTTTCGGGTGACATTTATTCTTAAACATTCTTTCTTCTTTAGCACCATTTCTGTGGTTTAGCATGTTTGAACGTGTTCCAAACCAATAATCTTCTTTAAATTGTTGCTAATAATCGTATTTACAAACACATGCAGTAGTGTTTTGGACACTGGTTTCCCTTAATTACACTACAGCGAGATTGCTTGACATAATCCATCACAGGGAAGGGTTTGTTTGATGTAACTGGTGTCAAAGCCGTCACTGCTTGCTAATACAGTTAAAAGGGCCCCCTTTTTTCTGACTCACAAACAACTTTTTTCTTGCACAGCCGATTAAACAGTGTGCTTACCGGTGTGAACTCGGTGGTGTGTGTCCAGTTGATGTTTCAGACTAAACTTCTTTGGACAGTATTGGCACTGGTAGGGTTTTTCTCCTCTGTGTTCTTGTCGATGGGAATTAGGTTCTTGCTGCACAGCATCTCCTTTTCCGCAGCACCGACACCCTGCACGGGCATCACCTGTGCAAACAACAAGACAGGGTAACAGTTGGAGTTGTGAAAATTGTGGTGGCTCATGCAATGTCCTGTGGCCTGGCTGTACACAAAAAACATATTAAATATAAAGGTACAGTGGTCCAATTACTGCAACAGCCAACAGTAAATGTCTTACAGAGTGAGATATAGAACCCATGCACTTTTCTGACTTTCTGTTTTTTTTCACTCTTTTTATTTGTAAATATTTTTTATTGTCCTACTATTGTCCTTATCCACAAAGACATTCAAGAGCAATGGGATCTGCAACCAAAACGACCAATTACATGCAATAAAGTGAATAAAATTAATTTTAGAGCTGCAGCAATCAGTCGATTAGATTAGTTCAGTGATTCCCAATCAGGGTATCCTTATTGCAGTATTATGCAATAATGAAACTTTGCTATTTTTTCAACCCTGCCAAATTCAACAGTTGCATTCACACTCAAGATTATAATACTCACTCACCTCCTTAACGTAATACCAATTTTAAAAGAAGAATTACAATTTATTGCATAAGCTTTAGAATAACACATTAGACAGATATACATTATTTTAATCACCTTTGAGAGGCACAAGTGTATTTTGGTCAGCATCCTGTTGCAAGGCAATAAATTCAGTTTGTACAAACTTACTTTCCTGTCACTCTGCACATGTGTCTGCAGCTACACATATTAGTAATTCTTTAAAAGCTACAAAGGTGTGATTTTGAGGTTAAGGTAACAACTCTGAAGCATTTCAGTACCTTATATTTTTTAGGGTTTCTCAAGTGAAAACTTGGGCCTCATAGCATAGACAGGATGCTGAAATAAGAAGGGGGTGTTCTGTAGTAGGGGAAATTGAGAGAATGTGAATAAACCACAACAATTGAACACTCACCACTCTAAACACATCCTACTGAGACCTGTTGTCATTACCATGTTTCCTGTCCAATATCTTCAGTTCTCACTTTAAAATACCTAACATCTTATATAGATAATGCTTTAATGTGCAGTGCACTTATTAGCATACAGTAATATAATTCAGTGAAAAGAAAAAGAAAAAGATACTGAAACATCACATAACAACATGGAGCGCAGGCTCCATGCTTCATTCATACTTTTATTGTTTCTGTGCTGTTACACATTCTATGTATTTATATATTCCAGAGACAGATTTTCAACAAGTGCTTCCTTAGTGGTATTATGACGTATTTATAGTACTTCTCCTAAGTTATTACACTGCTAACTGCACTGAAGTCAGTTGTAAAGCATAATTTTACCATAGCCTAATCTTTTTAAGCATGAACATAATGTTCCATTTAGCAGAGATATTAAACATCAGATAAAACATGTTTATCAGTTTGATTGTAAACACTAACTATCATTCTCACATTTGCATGTACACACATAAATGCGCACACAGGCGCACACGGACGCTGTTGGTTTAGTGTATGTGTGTAATTGCAGTGACTAACATTTATATTATAGTATATTATTATAATAAATCTATATGTATGATTTTTTTTGGCATAGGACAAACCGCTGTTGCGATGAAGTACATACTGTACTGCATGTATCTAGCTGTATCTAGTAACCACACGACTGCTCCTGCTGCACCATGCTCTGAAAACCACAACTCTTTTTATCACTTTCCATTGCGTAGCTACGTAGCTGGAGTCTGCCGAGGTTAGGGGTCATGACAAGAACCGTCTTACTATCATATTTAGTTGGTCGGTTGTGCACAGGATAACCACTTCTGCAGCCTTGATCTTACTCTTTATTAATAATTGTATGTAAGATGTGTTGTAATCATTAGAAACAGTATGTTTTCTGTTTGTCAGTGTCATATCATTACCTGATGGTGTGGAGGCTGACTCCGGTAGCACTGGATCAGCAAGAAGGCTTGGACTGCAGTGTTGGCAGTCTTTAACTCTCTCTGTGCTGTCTTTGGGTACATCATGGTTACTGTGGAAAATACATTTTTCTGATTCAACAGTTGCAAAAGTATCCACACTAATTGTACATTTAACAAGAACAAAGGAATTGCTTTTATTTGTGCTCCAAAGAGATACACAGAATGTAAATGTCTCACTTTGACAAGTTTTACAATGTTATGTTATCACACATTACATCCTTAAACACCCTTTCCTTCCTCTCCATCCCCAGCCACAAGATATTTATAGCGCAGGGTAAAAGCTCATTAGCTTGTGTTGAGTTAGAGTAGGAGGAACAGGATAATGAAGTGAACACTGAAGAATAGCTATTTTTCCCACAAAGACCCATGACTGTCTTGAACAATTTCTTGTGGTGCAGACAAGGCCTGTCTAAACACTGACACTGTGCTTCAGTGGGTGGAAAATCTTGAATTCTGCAAAGGAGGGGAGAAATTTAGGGGGCTCCCCTACACACTCTGTTTGATTATACTGTGTGGAACACTGTAAAACATGCATATACTTGAAAAAAACAAGAAAATCACCCAATCACCCAAAAACAAAGTCAAATGGGGTTCACATTATCTAGTATCATAAAAGGACGGTGGGGAACTACTTAGTTTCTAGTAATTAGAACAAAGCATGATTGTTTTTTAATCCAACAAATAAAGTTAACTTTTATTTTAGATTTATTGGAAAATTAACTTATATGTATTTTGCTTTATTGTGCTGTGATCTGATCTGAAAACTAGGATTATGATTTGTCAAAACAATAATGAGCTTGACTGACTTGGACTGGCAGGGAAGGGTTAACAGGTGAAACTGCTCTACTAGGAAAGTGCAGGAGGCTTGATCACACACATCTACACAAACAGCAGTGAGTCAGGTGCTGTAGCTGTCGCAAGGGAACAATTGAGCAAATTAGGGGATTCTAAATGACTCTGTGAGAGGAAAAATAGGGAGACAATGACTGAAAATTAAAAACAGAAGTTTCCAAAATCATGTCCAGGTACTTACCTCGGTTCACTGGTTTGAACGGTCCCAGTAAATGCTCTCTGGCTGGGTTTTTTTCTTTTTAACAGCCCTTGCTTGAGTATGCTCCCCATCCCCGTAGAATCAGCGTAAAAGTTTTGTGTATAACGTGGATGAATGCCTGTGTAGCTCATTACAGAGCTTGGAAAATGGGAGCTAAGTAGGGGGAACATGTGGGGAGTTGAGAGGGAGAATGGGTATGCTACAGAGGACTGGTTTGGGACCTGAAGGGGGTGTGCTGCAACTAAGTTTGAGTAGTTCTCTGCTATCCGCCTCAGGGTGCTTACAGAGTTCCACATGTTTGAAGGGAAGGTCCAGGGGGAAGAGAAAGATGAACTGCTGCTGGCAGGCCTTGTAATGACACTGTCTCTGTTGTAGGGTGTTGCAGACACAGGGGACAGTCTGGACTTCTTTCTTGGGGGTGGCGGACTGTTGCGGTTCTTAGCAGGATCAGAGGAAGAAAGGTTGTCCATGACACTGCTGTCGTCTTCTTCCTCCACTGGGGGAGAAGTCTCTTGGAGTTTCTGCTCTCGAACTCGCCTTCCTTTTTGCTTTTGATCCGTCTCCTCTGCACTTTCATTTTCTTCTTTGACATCTGTGATTTCTCTTCTTTTGCTCTCCTCTCTGGCTCTGCAGTGGAGATGATCCAGCTGCTTTTGGCATTGGTCCTCCAGCAGTTGCATCTCCAGCAGCTGAGCAGCTCTTAGCAGCAGGCGCAGGTCATCCACAGACACCTCAAGAGTCTCTGTGTAGGTAAAGTCTAGAACTTGCTGGAAGGTGTGGGGTGAGAAATACTCCAGAGTGCAATGAACTGGACTGTCTATGTCTCCTTGGGCTAGCTGCTGTGCTAGCCTTCTGCTAGCACAAGCCAGTACTAGCCGATGAGCCCTGAAAGTTTGACTCTTTACCGAAATGATGGCATCACAGAGTGACCCTGAGTGACGTAAGGCATCTGCCTGCTGCAGGAAGTGGAAGTATTGGGTGTTGTTGATTCGAATCATTTCTGAAGTTTGTAGACATATAATCAAAAGTCTGAGAAGAGAAAGTCAAAGAAAGAAGAGAGAGATCCCATCAGATTATGCCCACACTGTGATAAAATTTGTTCCATCTATTTGTGAGGTTGTTACCATGTCTGTGGTATTTGTTGAAATGCCAAATTCTAAGTAGAAATTTCACTTTACAAATCAACAGCAGGAATTGGCTTGTGATTAACAGATAATGCATTTCTCTGTGGTTTGAACTGGTACTGGTTTTTTCCATTATTTCCACACAGCATTACCTGCAGCGAAAGTTGAGGCGGCAGAATGTATCTGAGGTGATTTCATTGTTTGTTAATGTTGTGATGAGTTGTTGTAACAGTGAATTAAGTTTAGAAAATGGTAACCCACCAAAGTATTTATATGTTCACTACCAGTAGTAGTCACAGAATTTCTTTTAATAGATTCTCAAATTATGCAGAAAAACTCTCAATCACAACCGTGTGTGATATCTATCCGAATGTCTGGCTGATGTGTGCAAATGCATTCAGTTTTGTGAAAGCTTTGATATTCGGTGCTCACATACACACTCCAAAGCCACAAAGCCTGAACAGTATATGAAACCATGACTAATGACTGTACACACGAGTAAACATGAGTAAAGTTTGAACATCAACAACAATAAGACTGCATTTGGATACGATAAACATCAAGTGCAAGCGTGGTGGAAAATGTAATTATGTAAATATGTTAAAGAAACATTTGGAATTTTACATCTAAAATAGAAAATACATGGATAAAAAAGCTGTGGCTGTGTGTCGAAACTACCGGATGCCTGAGAAGTTGTCATCGTCACACTTAAGTCTATAAAGAAATTTTATGATTATACAGTGTGTGGTCGGTTTCTGCAGCAGAGGTCACACATACTAAGAGCTTTTACATTCGGTCCTCCGATGGTGACTGTAAATGGAAAGTAGATGTGAAACGACATGACATTTAGTTTAGTAGTTTAGCTGTCTTGTTACTGGAATTTTCTTTTAACGTGCACTCATTTTTGCTCACTCTCTAAATTGCTCTCTCTCTAATTAGTTAATTTCCGTTACTGCAAAATGTTGCACCAAACAGCAATAATTCAAAATTATTTGAATATTTCTGAAATATTTTATTCACAATTTAAACAAAACAGCACTTAGTGCTGAGAGCGAAAGTGACAGCAGTATTTGATAAGTGTGAGACAGCAAGCGTAAGGTGTCAGTTTATTATTTATTTATCTATTTAAAAAAAAAGTTATTCAAGTTACACAATGTGCGATGTTGAGTACACAGTCCTGAGAGCACATCGGGAAATGATCATGCAAATCAAGCAGCCTATTGTCTGCGTACATGAATATAAAGCAGTCAATACGACATTTTTCTGCTGTCAAAAACTAGGCACTGCCTGGTCAAAATTATTATAGAGTGTATATTAAATCATCCAACTTAGGCCGGTGGCATAAATTTATTGAGTGAGACAAATAATTTTTTTTATGCCCAATTAAAATGACTTCTGTACGATATGCAATTATGCATTTTGTATTCTATTGCGTATGAATGTCCTTTCACATAATAATAATAATGATAAGAATAGTAGTAGTAATATAATGCTGTCATAAATATATAGTGGTGTAATTGTATCAGCAGTCATAGTGGCGGCACTACAATTAAAGTAATTTAGCGAGTGGATTCATATGGTGTTCTACAATGTATTTTATGATAACTGACGTTAACGCAACTTCGGTTAACAACTTACGCGCAAGGAGATTTTGCAAAAAATTTTAAAGTTGTGCCATTTGTTGGCGTAACACATGGTGCAAATATTAGGCCTTGCTGAACTGGCCTGAGCATGTACTTCTTGTCTGTCCTTGTATGTTGTTACTGTGTGCAGTTGTTGTCTGATATGTGCAGTGCAAATTGCCCCTTGGGCACTTTTAGAGCACCATTGCTCTAAAAGTTACACCGTGTATCATCAGCTTAAAGTCTTGTGCAATATACAAACCTTTGATCCCCATAGGGATGTTCTCTTTTGATTTGCAGAGACTTTTCAGAAATGTTGTTGCCTTTTAGTGGTCGAGCAGAGCGCTTTTCCACAAAGTTAAATTTAATCTGTTTGTTAGATTGTATTTTCAGATATTGCTATTCATATGATGCACCTGACTTGTGCGCTGTAGAATTTTCAATTATGTGTTGAAGTAATGCATGTAGTGCGGGCCTATAAATTAATTCTTCCATTTAATTGTATTCTGTATTATTATGCTTCAAGTTGCAAACATTATCAAAATCTTTTATATCTTTAGAATACATTTGATTTTGTAATAAACTGGCTTATGCAATAACCAAATTCCTGCTGATGCTGCTCAAAGCTACATTGCACTCTTGCAGGTTGTGACATAGTTAGCAGGTCTTCGAGCTCCTTGCAGTCACGGTGCTATCTCTATGCTTACATGGGGGAAAACCATGCATGCATATGTCATATTTACGCATCCTTTGACAGGACATGAAGTTACAGTCAGCCTCCCCACAGCTCACACGTAAAGGACTAGAGTCACAAGAGACAAGTCTGAACTTAAGGTCTCCACAGGTAACAGAAGATCAATAGCGGCACACAAGGTTGTTTACAGTTGTTACAGATCACAGAAAACACAGCTAAAAAGACCAAAGATAAGCAATGTTAAAACATCTCTGCATGTGGTTTCAAGTCTCAGAAATGTAAGAAGCAGCAAGCTGAGTGAATGAGACACTTACCGGGTGTTTAGTGAATATTCTCCCTGGAGAATGATGAGCTACCTTGCATCATGACTGTGAAGTGACTTGTAAAGTGACACCTCTGTCTGGGTACAGGTTTTGTTGAGGGACAGGGTGGTTTCCTCCTTTGTCTGTACAGTCCCTCCTCCTCAACTTATCTATCTCTCCCTTATTGGTTCATTGATTATAGTTCTAAATGGATTGTTTTTGTGATAAAAGATAGTAACTTTCTCTTAAGTAAACCACTTCTTAAAATTATTTAGATGTTTTTATATTGCTTAAAGCATGGAGGGTATTTTACTATTTATTATACTATTCTTCAATTGTTGTACAGTATAGACAGCTAATACTGTTGAATACAAACTAATGCCAATACTAATAATAGACGTGACTCATTTTCTGAAGCTAAAAAAGGTTTAATTCAACCAAATTATTAAACTATATGTGCGTGTGTGTGTGTGTGTGTGTGTGTGTGTGTGTGTGTGATTGAGAAAGAAGGAGAAAAATGGGGACAGTGGTTAGAGGGATATGTGCGTGCCCTGCTGATGCTGTATACCTGTACATGCTGTACATGGTTTTCTCCCCTCCAGCATCACAAACTGGTCACTACTTTAATAGGCTGTTCTGTGCTGAGACAAAAACCACTTCAAAGACAATGATCTGTGACAGGAAACATACAGACAAAAGGCCGGTGGTACCGTTATGTAGGGCTAGGCTTCACTGAAACCTGCACACTTGAAATAGAAATATCAGCTTCGCCCTTTCATTTTGTCAGGCCTCGGTGTGAAAACCTGTAAAAATAGGCCAACTGTAGAGAGCTGGTCAGTTTAGCAGACCTCAATGGTTGAGTACATTATTACTGCTTTGTTTTCTTTTAAATCAAGCAGTGAGAACTACATATTTTTAACCTAGTATGTAACTGTTTGTGTGTGTGTGTGTGTGTGTGGGGGGGGGGGGGGGGGGGGGTCACATTATTTAATCTGTTCGTTGGTTGATCTCATGCAGACTAAGGGTTGACCAAAACGAAGGCTTTGCTCAGGTTGGTCAGACTGACCTGCCACATGCATAGATCTCAGGAGGATTAAGCACCTGCTACTTGGCCTCCTACAAAGAAAGTGTCATTTGTCTGGGGTGTTAAAAAAAAGAGATTAGTGCTCCGGGCGATGTCTTCTACCATTGCTCCCTACTGGTTTCCTGCCGCATTGGCGAGCCGAGCACTGTGTGGGCACTGAGCGTTTCTATGGTGAAAGAACACACTCATGCATCAGCACTCAGTCAGTGTGAGTGAGTGTAATGACTTATTTTTAGGCAGACATCATTTATATGGCCAAACAAAGTATAAATATACTCTTCATTTTATATTAATATTGATGGGCTTTGTCAGGGATGGGAATGCCTGGGCAATGGGGGTTGGACCAAAATCCAGACCTTCTGGAGGTCAGACAGGAGGCAGGCGACAAGACTGGAGTTGAAGAGATCTTCAACCAAGTCCAGTTGCCCTTGACTTTAACCTTCTTTGGATAACTATGACCTGGATCACTGAGAACCTTTGCAGACAGCAAGACAGAAGGCTGGCAACAGGTCAGCAGAGCTGGGAGCCAGTGACAGGGCATAAACGGTAGAGGCTGGGGACAGCTGCTGCAGTTCAGAAGAAACCAAAGGTAAGTGCCGCAGTTCAGTGACATGGACAAAAGGTCTCTGCAGCTCAGCAGAGTCAGAGTTTCGCTGGATCTCTGTAGTGACAGGAAGCTGCTGTAGCTTGCAGGCAGGTAGCTAGCAGCTGATGCGCTAGCAGGTCGGGAGTAAGGCAGGAGTATGCTAGCTAGCTGGTGGCTAACAGGCCAGGAGTCTGACTGGCAGATGGAGACTGGCAGGTTGCTAGGAGGCATAGAGTCACACTGGTTTTTAAAAGGCCATGGGCTAGCTGTCTGGGTACTCTCTGGTGCCTCAACGAGGTCCAACAAAAAGGAAATCAGAGAGCTGGATGTCCAAGAATCTCCAACCAACTCTGGTACAGGAACTGGGGCTGGTTGCCAACCGGCTGGAATGAAGACTGGTGGCAAGCTGGCTTGAGGTTCAGAAACAAGCAAATGTGCAAGCGAGCTAAGGAAGATAAGAATCAGAATCAGATTCAGAAATACTTTATTGATCCCCGAGGGGAAATTCTTTAATTGTGACCCATTCCCGTATCAAATCCCTCAGCCAAGGTTTAGAGGACACTTCCCTCCGAGCTATAGACATTGTTTTTATTCATTGCTTGGGGCCTCCCTTTAAATATCCTTGATGCGCAGGAGAAACCAACTCATAAAGTTCATCAAACGAAGCGTCTGCTGGGTCCATGGCTGCTCGGTTTATTCTAGCAGAACAGGCAGATGAGGTACAGTTAACAGATTTTTTTATTTATTTATTGTCCATAAATGATCTTAAATGTAGGTAAAGGCAGGCGGACTGGAGATCTAGTGGAAAGCTAGACTACGGCATGTCTGGGGGTTCAAAGAAAGGGACAGAGTGCAAACTGTGACACTCTTTAGGAGTCTATGCTTGAGCTATTCAGCAGCTCAAAACTAGCTGTCAGTAGCATTGATACCATTTTCTAGTAATGTGGGAATCAGGTAACCAGGGAATATGGTGGAGTTATTTTGTCCCATCCACTGAACTTAGAAGAACAATCGCTTTGCACTACAGCAGTTTTAATAATGTCTTATTGTCTCGATAGCTAGTTGGTTAATGTAATATTTTGTTAGATTACTAATGTTGTCTCTCTTTCTCTCTCTCTCCATCAGCATTTTCACATTTTCTTATTGCCTATTATTACTGAAGCAATTTTGCCTTCTATAGAGAAGTGGTAAGAATATGGAGGCAAGAGGAGCAGCCATGAAGCTAGAGGAAGTACATCTTTCAGCCGATTAAGATGAGATTCTGCAAGTGAGGAGAATGTGAGGAGAATTTACTGAAGTACTCTTATTTTTTCTTCTTATTTTTCTTTTTTGCATGTTTCAGTGATTAAATGTCATGTAGCAGTGTTTGAATCAACCTCAGTCATGGGTTTGTTTGAAAGACAGATTTTAAAGACAGATTTTAAAATCCCTTTAACAGTGTCGCAAAAGCAATCATTCCAGGCATATTTTTATTTAAGTAATTTGCCAAAATTGCCTTTTATGAATTTGGGCCCCTAACATCCTTGGCAAGTCCCTGAAGAAGGCTTTAGCTAGTTAAGAGTAGTTTTAGAGAAATGAAAATAGCTCTGAAGCCCACATGAAAGTGTGGTTTTGGCTATTGACAATGTGCCTATTTGGACAGTTTCTCAATATTTTAATTGTAGTTTTCTGCAGGTATATTCATTAAAATGAAGTTAAATTATTAAACAAAAGTACAGATTTTCTTGTGATGACAGGTGACAGAAATCAAGTAGCGTTAAGCTAAACAACCATTACAATTAAAATACAGTGATTGTCAACACAACTGGCAAAGAGACAGAGACAGCAATGCCACTGGACAGAATCCAATATGACTGAAGAGTTTGTGATTAAGGAAAGAATTTATTATATCTCAAGTTTTATAGTTCTCACCACTGTACATGCATTATGCACTTTAATCTAATCTAAAGTCTTAACCTAATTAGTAGTGCATCATTGAAAAAAGTGATCTAATTTTGATACAGCTTGTCCTCAGATGTTGTCTGAATTATGATCTAGAGCTACGTTATGTGTAGGTGTCATTACACTTAATGTAGGTTTATATGATGGCTTAATTAAAAACCTTTCAGTCAGTTTGATCTAACACCGCACACTCTATACTCTGAGGTTTTATATCAGTGATACTAAATATCAGACAATAACTTTGTCGTGTATATAGAAGGAAGCACAAAATAAAGAAAAGATGGATAGAATAACAGATCAGTCGTTCACCATTCACAGTTAAGCAACGATGATGACCAGTTTTTACAGTTTTACAGTGGGATTGGACTTGAACATATAGAAAAATATCATTCTGAGCAGCCACAAGGCAAACCCCATGTTGCATTTATATTGTCATGCACAGGGAAATGACAAATTAGAATCCCTGATTGATGTGGTCAACTGAATTAATATATTATCAAGTACACAATATGGTATACAATTGTTACGGTGAAATGCAGCTGGATTTCCTCTTCTAACTGAGAACTTGCAAATATCAATATAACTCCAAATATGCAGCATTTTAACACATATCCTTTGACACAGTGTCCTTTGTACTTGTCACCTACATGTTCATGCACAGGCATGCGGTGTTAAACACAAATGTGGTTTACTTGTAATATCTGTGAACACATGGTGGGACATGTTGATGCATTGGAAGATGAGCAACACTGACATTTCTTTTTTTCTTTCTTTCTTTTTTTAAGTTAATGTTCCATTTTCAGTGGATGTGTTTTTTTTCACCAACTAGACATTACTTCTACTGACCATCCATGACAACTTAATCTATGTGTGTGTGTGAGTTAGTACGTGCACTGGTGCACTGACATTTGGGGCTACTGTGCATATGAACAGTTGTCATCAAGCATTGCTCAAACCACTGGACAGTCTGATGTCATCTATTCCTCTCACAGAAATTAGCATTATACCAACACTTAAATGTCATCTAGTGCTATATGGGAAGGAGACAGCCTGAGCTGATGCACAGGGCTTCACCTACTAGTAATATCTAGACTGTCAGTCCCCCCACACCACTCCTCAGCACCCGTTATCCCCTCACTGTCAGTTTAACAATCACCATTCGACACCCTACCCAGCATCAATGCTGACTCACTGAGGTGTCTAACTGTGTGGGGTATTTGTATTTTTTCATCTATGCACATTCTGCATTAGTGTGACCTTCACCACCCACACATCTCATATGATGTTGGTGATTTTATTTTAATTCAATTACACTGCCCATGTGATCTACCTACTAAGGTTTTTAATCTTTGCATGCAAAGGGGTTTCATATTGTTGTTTTGTTGAATGAATCAAAGTGTTACTGAACTAAACAGAACACACACTCAGACTGCGATGTGATAAAAGTCTGGGTTAATATGAGTCGTCTTACATTACCACAGTGGCGGTATGTGAGCAGTC